GTTTTTTTTTTCTTTTTATAAATCTGCCTTTTCATTGTATGGTGCTCTGAAGCAGCATTCACTATATTTTTTATCACACCTCATAAAAACACTCAGAATAGGGCTTCAGAACTGCTTCAGAAAGTGGTAAGCATTATGGGTTAAGTAACTTTGGAGCAAAGAGGAATATTTTGAGGGGAGTTAATAGCAATGTGTCTTTCACAGCAATATATTTTTTTAATTTAAGCATTTACCATATATATTTTGATCACACCTTGCAGTTAGTGTCTTTATAAATAACAGAAAGAAACTAGGATCTTAACATATCTAAAGAGCACATCTTATCTCGGATGTCTCTAGTAGTTAAAACTGAAGGAACAAAATGAAACTTTGAGTCACTACATTTTTTTTATAATAAGATTACTTATTTTCTCCCTGAAAACTAAAGATAACTTGGCCTCACTTTTATATAAGTTTCCACATGAAGGTTTGAAGTCCAGTAGTTTAATGTTGAATAAAATCAGGGATTAGCAAATCCTGAATGCTTAGTAATCTTTACTCACAAATATAAAGTATAATTCCCTGAAATTTTAGATGAACTCATTCTTCAAAATACAACTTAGAGAAATATAGAATCTATTTTTAGCTTTGAGTCTTTCAAACACCAGATCTTGTTTCTCTTCAGATCATATAAATCTTTTACCTTTTCAAATACCCAGTGAGATGGCAGACAGAGATATAAATTTTATAGTGGGTATCACTTTTTTTTTATCATTCTCACCACCTCTACGTTCCTTCTACTCTGCCCCCAACATACACACACACACACGCACACACACACCCGTGCACAATAGGCATATGAAATTTTATGCATTATTCAATATCCTTTGGCTTCCACAGGTTTTCAAAGCTTATCATCGCTTTCAAGTATGGGTTTTCTTCTGACGATGTTATGAAGTATAAACACTATGCACTTCCAGTATCCATCCTGTCTCCACCATAACATCTTTATAAGTTTGCACAAGTTATTTAACCCATGTGAACTTTAGTTTCCTTAACTGAAAACTCAGAATAATAATAGCTGCTTTAAAGACCTTACTAAGGGGCTGAGGATATAACTCAGCAGCATAAGCGCCTCCCTGGCAAGCGCAAGGTCCTGAGTCCGATTCCCAGTACCAAAAAAAAAAAAGATCTTACTAAGAGTTAGAGATGCCATATATATAAAATTATTAGGGCATTACTTGGTACCTGGTATGTACTCGGTATTAATTTACTCTTCTACTAAGTCTTCTATTGACCTACAGGACACAAGAAGGTGACAAAAACATAATTCCAAGAGACTGTTCTGGTGTTTCAGCTCTGAAATGACAAATGACTCAAGGGTATATCTGAGTTGAGCAAATACAAGGTATAGAGTCATTCACACAAAGATAGCAAGAGGTAGTGACTAACAATTCAGGGAAGATCTTATTTGTGTTAGGGGCTGGCGGCTCTAGGTGTATGTGTTAATGGTGATATGGAGGCTCAATTCCTGAGCCATGTAGACTGGGCGTATCCCACTTTCTTGTGTCACACATGAAACTGCTGTCAGTGTCTTAGTTATCTGATCCCATATCCTAAGGAGACAGACACACACACACACACACACACACACACACACACACATAGAAGCTAAGACCTTGCTGTGCAACTATTGGGTGGTTTTCAATCACTGAGCTGTATTCTTCTCCTTGTTCTTGATTCATTCTCTGTAAACTCTTTGCCTTATTGCAGAAGTTGACAGATTTTTATTAATAAAGCACTAAAGAGTAAATATTTTAGGTTTTGTGGGCCATCTCATCTATAACTACTCAAATTTGCAAGTATAACACACAAGCATCCAGAGACAATATCTAAATTGAGTATGACTCTTCCAATAATGCTTTATTTATATACAGTGTATTTTAAATCTCATATAATTTTCATGTATCATGAAATATTCTGTAGATTTTTCAGCCATTTAAAAATGGAAAAATCATTCAGAGCATGTGGACTATACAAAGGAATTGGGTGAATTTGGCTCATGGGCCATAGTGTGCCTACCTCTGCCTTGTGTTTCTGAATTTTCCGTATTTATCTTATAATGTGCACAAGTCTTTCCTGAGTTGACTATTGAAACAATTATATTTTTGTGTTTAATTATCATAGCAGTTTTCTACTGCTGTCTTAACAAATTATCCAAATTTAGCAGCTTAACACAAACATTATCTCATGATTCTGTAATTTGAAAATCTGAGCTGACTTGGCTTGTTTTTCTACTTCAGGTTTTATGAGGCTGATATCAAGGTACCAGCTGGTTGAGCATTTATAAAGAAGCTCTGCAAAGAGCCTATTCTGAAGTGCCTTATTGTATGCAGAATGCAGTTCCTTGTGGCTGTAGAGATGAGGTCCCCATTTCCGTGTCAGCTGTTAGCTGAGAGCTCCCCTTAGCTGCTGGAGACCTCTCTTTCTCCAATCCTTGCCAGTAGATCCCTACATCTCAGAGCCTTCTCAGAACATCAAGCCTTTCTCCTGTTTGCAGTCTGACTTTCCATTTTGCAGTGTCTCTTCTAGGCACTATTCAATGCTTGGTTTATAAAAGCTGGTACGATCGCTTTGGGCTCATGAGAATACTCTTAATATTATAAGGTTAACTAATTAGTAACCTAGTTCCATCTGCAAAATCTGATTACTTCAGTGCATAGATTAGTGTTTGATTTATAGTAATCTTGAGGTGACATCTTTAGAATACCACAATTACCACCTGAAATTCCAAACTAAGTACTGATATATATGTCTATAGGTCACTTAAGGGCACATTCAGAAATAATTTAACTTATTCAAGCTTTTGGTTTTGGTAAATTAGACCTTAGATTTGACAGAGTCTATAAGCATATTTTAAATTGTTAATTAGATCACGAAAAAGCTTATGCTTTTCAATAGGTGATCTAGCCACCTGGAAGTAAATCTGCAGTGAGCATGCTATGGTCTTACCTTTCAATGACTACCTTCTCCAAAGTTAATATTTTCACATTTTCTCAAGTATGGATCTGTATAGATAACTTGCTTTCATCTCCATTTGACTTCTACTTAATTCCTTTTTCTCAGTCACTGTAATAGTTGTTAATTCTCATCCTCCATGGTCCAGGTACATATGTCTTCTAAAAATTCCTCATCTCCATGTTACCCTGATTTATATCTTCATCATTTTCTCTCTTGCTTATTGCAATAACTTCCTACTTGACATTCTTCCTTCTGATTTCTCCCATCTCCATATATTTCTCCAGAGATTATATCTTCCAATTAACTTCAGAAAAACTGCCAGAGTTCTGCATTGGTTCCAGATTGACATTCCAACTCCTTAGCACGGTATTCAAGGATACTTATTACATGGCCCAAAACCTATCTTTCAACCTCATTTTCCACTATAAACTTCCACAAACCCTTTACCCCAGTCCCATGAGTCTATTTCTATTCTGAGAACATGACCTCTTTACTAAAAACATTTCTTCATTTTTAATTAGAAATATGTTTAGACTACCAAATGACATTTACAGTTGCTAAAATCCTTGTTGTAAGCACAGGTATTATAGGTCAAATTCCATGTAGTATAAGCCATTCCAGATATATTTACCGAGCACAGTGCGAGGTACCGTTCTGAGCAATAGTGCACAACAGAGGCAAGACTTCTGCCCTCATGCCACTGGTAGTAATGAGGATTGCGAAGATAGAAAAAGAAGGTAATCTGTTAAAGTGATGGGGGAGTAGTTGATCATTCACTTAAAAATATTCTTTGAGAGGGGCTGGGGATTTAGCTCAGCGGCAAAAGCGCCTGCCTGGCAAGCGCAAGGTCGTGAGATCGGTTCCCAGTACTGGAGAAAAACCGAAAAAAAAAAAAAAAAAAAAAAAAAAAAAATATTCTTTGAGAGCACAGTCTATGATAAGTTCCCTTGCAGAAATTAGGAGAAAAAAGGTGAATCAGACAGATATCAGCTCCCAAGGAGCTTACCACCCAATAGATATGAGAGAGTGTGGCCAGAAATCGGTCTAGAATGAAGTTTAAAATGCTATAGGTCAGTAGTGGAGAAACTATGGCACACATGTGTTAATTGTTTTCTTTTAAGACAAAGACGCGAAGGTATGAATTCAGGTTTCATCGCTGTGTTGGCACTTCTCGATAAATAAGTGGGTTTGGGGTTGCACTTTGGGCACTTATCTCTCAGACTCGCCATCACTGCTATAGGTCATACGAGAAGTACATACAGAGAAACTACAGCCATTGCAGGAGCGGGGGAGGCACGTGATTTCTTGTATCCATTGCAGCTAGCTCAGAAGATGCACAGGACCATTCAAAGATCCCATCTCAAGTTTAACATCTAATTTCTTGCAAAATCTAGGCAGATACTTCTGCCACCTCTATTTTAGATTCATCTGCTTCTCTCTTAGTCTTACCATTGCCCTAATTTTGGTCCTATTCCCTTTCTCCTGGACTACTATAATGATCAGTCAGTCTCTGTCTCTTTCTCTATTCCAACCCAGTGTTTATGTTACATCAAGGAATTTTTCAGGAACAGACTCTGACTGTGGACCCTGTATCATCCGGAACTTTCAGTTACTTCTAGTTGCTTGCAGTGAAGACCATCTACCCTCTAAGGCAGGGGTTGAGAAGTTACACCCTAGGCCAAACTAACTGGAATAGAGTGCTGGCTCTATTCCTTACCAGCAGTGTGATGTGAGGCTTGTCATTTGATTGCTGTAAGCTTCAGTTTCTCCATCCATAACGTGGGAATCATAATGTTCACACAAGATTGTTATGTAGATAAAACCAGACGCAGTATGAAGAACAATTAGCAGTTTCCTAGTAGATAGTATACAGTAAATTTGATGATCACCATAAAATAGTGTTAAATAACTGGCTATTATTTACTTAATTAGGAATTTTGAGAGTTGATAATGCAGCTCAATAATTGAATTTCAATACTCTCCCATTTTCCTTTGAGTAGGCAGCTAAGGATTATAACTGGTGAATGGTTTTATGAAGAAAAGGCAAAGCGTTTCAAGCAAGTCAATGTTCTGGGCACTGATGTTATCCGGCAGTCAATCTTAAGAAGAAGTCCAGGTAATTATTTGATTTCACAACTTTTCTAATCTTCATTTTGTCAGGCTAAATTACTCTCCTATGTTTTGTAGAAAATAAGTACAGTTGAATTTTCTGAAGTGTTTTGGTCATTTCACAACCTGATAGCATGAAATCTTAATCCATGATTCATACAAGAAAGAAGAGGTAAATGGAAAATAAAATTCATAGTGATTTTCCATATATCTGACACACTGAAATTTTGAAAAACACCATTTATCTTCATCACAGTTATTTTTCTGACTGCACTTCTAGTATTTTACTAAACGTTTAAGAAAATATAAAAAAGATTAATTCAATGACTCATATTGTGAAAAAAATATGGACTTTCAATAACTTTCTTTTTTTACCAATTTCTTTTAAATAGTCCTTTTTCTAATCTTTGATTCTCAAGATATTGTGCACTCCACCCCATTCACAAATGGGAGCATTTGGAAATTCAAAGAATCGTTTCTTGTCACAATGACTAGAGTAAGCTAAAGCATTTAGTGGACAGGAGCCAGAGATGCTCAATGACCTGAAATGCATATAGTACAGTTTTACTCAAGGCAGAAGTACATTGGCATCAAATGCAAATAACACTCACAATGAGAATGCTTTTCAGTACATTTAAAGTATAATTTATTTGGTTAAATGTTGAGTGAAATTTGTGTTTGGGAGCATATTTCTCATGCATAGTGTAGTAAAGGTAGAACAAGCATCTTTTAAACTACTGCTAGGCTATCTCATCTTTCACAGATAGGAGACTAGTGCCTTTGCTTTTAAGTCTAGCAGGAATGCCCATGACGCTATGGTCTGTGCCCTCACACAAAACTCAGCGCCTTTCAGTATGTGGATTGACTCTGAAGTCACCAGGTATATATATGTAGATGCTCACCCTCTTGGGAAGACTGGCTTATGTGCTCAGAAGTCAAAGTATCATTTCTCTAATCTCATAGAAGGAATTAGTCCCTAGAGATTTGGAGCTCTCATGAATCCAGGCTCCCTTATTCTAAAAATGTCTATAAAGGGATAACGTGTTCATTCCTCCATCTCACTCTTTCTTAGAATGCTTATCTCAGCAAATCTCCCACGGAGAACCCCTGATTTTACTCCTCTGGAACAGTCAACAAATTAGAAATAACTGTGCTATGCTAATTTATAAAAGTGAATGCAGACTAGAAATTTGCTTTCATTTCTGGCCATTGTGTATATAAATTTGTATTCTGATTGTTTTAATGAGGATCTGAAGAAGTACGAAGCCAAGAGCAAACCCGCCAGTATGGAGAAAAATCAGACACTTCGCCTTCTGTTGGGCAGAAGGCCAGCCACGATGGTCCCAAGAGAAAAGGGTAAGCCTCAGCCTCTCCAGGGAAGTTTTAATCTTTATCCCAGACACCTGCGAAATAAATCCTCTTTAGTTTTTCAAGTCCAGTGTCACTTCAGGGACCCAAAGGAAGTCAGAAACTCAATGGAAGAAACACTTTATCATTCTCCTCAGGAAGTGCAGTTTTAATTACTTTCAACCTTATATAAATAAAGGTCTCTGTTGACATGTGCTTGGAAGAGATTTTCTTTCATTTGACAAATCTGCTCTTGCACCAAATGGTTCCCTTTACTTCTAGATAGAATGATGTGTGTCAAAGTCAGTGTTGTCTATGACTGCTTTTGTTGTAGAAGGTCAGTTTCCCTCCCCTCCAACCTGAATGCTGATATATGAAATCCCCAAATCAAAGATACATTACTTGTCCTTGAAATACGATATCCTATGTTTAAAATTAACAATTCTTCAAGGAAAAATATATTTGGTCACCTCAGCCTAATTCAGGAAGTAAATATATGTGTAAAGTATTAAAAATAGTGATGGGCAATACTCGATGTGGCAAGATGCAAGAGATTACTGAGGAACTGGGGACAGATGGGCTCCATTACAGGAAAAGAATTGCCCTTCAAATGCAGACTACAAAAACCAAAAGGCAAAGTACTGCTTCACAGGCAGCCCTGCACTTTATCTTTATGTCTGAGGCAGCTTCTTGGCCAGTTTTGTGGTCAGTGCATAAGAACTCTAATATGTGCCAAGTTACATGATCTTTTCCACATACCTTTGCTTCATCATCTCAACAGAAGCCAACATGAAATGCTGACAGTGTCTGAGCGCTTATCTGGCTCAAAAAGTCTGATTTTTTTTTTTTTTTACTGTCCTGAACTATGGCCATGAAATTTAAATGTCACCTCACTCAAACACTCATGGCTAAACACATCTTCATTAAATTAACAGAGATAAATAGGAAAGATGATCTAGAGTCTTCCAAGTATCCCATCATGAACCTTGATCTCTCTTATCACATTGAATTGAATTATCTCTCTTCAGGATTCCCACAGTGCCTTGTGCCTGTGTATCACTCCTCACGTTGCACTCTATCACCCTCCACATACTTAACTGTCAGCTCTGTGAGTGCTAGACTAGTGGCTTCTTTGCTTTTCTGTTGTCACTAACAGTGACCGTCTCCTCAAAAACAATCAGTGACTCTGAAAAATATAAGAAACTCACAGTTTACAAGTGCCACTAGGAGCTATATTTTTCAGACCCCAATGTAGGCATCACAGAGTATGTCACTGAGCTAAATGGGGTTTGGAGCCAGGAAACAGTGAGTAACTCACAAACACAATGAATTATACAAATCCTGAAATGTTCAAACTGTCATCACATGAGCCTGATCTTGCTGGAACTCAAAACTGGCATCTCTGGCTCTCAGTCTTAATGAGTATAATATTCAGCTGGGGAGAAAATGTTCACACCTAAAAAGTTAATAAATGTAAAGGAATTGTGAGAAAATATAAGATGGCAATATGAGCTACAGAAAGCCTTTCTATACAAGGCAGGGTGTTAATATATCACTAGAGATGCCATACAGCAATAAGTAAGTATCAAATGTATGGCTAGAAAATAAATGCTTGGGAGAGTACCAGCGCTATCAAGAAAGACATCAAAATTTTAAAGTAGTACTAGATGAGGAGCTTTACAGATGGATGGGGTTCAGGGTATTGGAAGGGAAGAAAAATGAATCCTGACAGAGCAGGCACCTTAAGCAGATGCGCAGAGGTGGAGATCTCCACAAGGTGGTTCTCAGAACAGTAGAGACTGACATTATAGTAAGTGCTATTCTCACCAAAAACATGTAATGTTCCAGTAGATTGAAGTTTCTGACACTTTGATAATTACACACTTCAAGGTTCTTTGAAGGGAGACAATTTAGCAGGTTCTATTATGATTCTGCCAGTACCTTTGTAATCCATTTTCCCCTAGAAAACCATTGAATATAAAGCAAATGAACTGATCTCTCCCAATGCCATCCCCCAAAATATAGCTTTGGTTTTCTTTAAACAAATAATTTTTACTAGCAAATGCTTGCTAGTAATGATTACATTCATTGTGGGGAATTGGTACATGAACATAACACATCTCAATTATTTTTCCCCTTCCACTCCCACCCTTTCATGATAGTGTATTTGAAAACAGCTATGTTTGGGGTACTTGGTATCCTGGATCCCTAATTGAATCTCAGTTCCTGAAAAGCTGCATTTTTACACTTCAGACAATTTAGTGAAATATGAATGCAATGAAATTTTATCGAATCTGAGACACTCCATTGTTTAGATTTCATTAGCATAAGGAAAATATCATGGAAGATATAAAGATGGTTTCCACCATGTGAATTTATTCACTCATTCAATTAGAGTTGGTTGGATTCTAGTATGTGTGAGGCATCATTCTAGGCTCAAGGGATGTGACAAGGAATGAAAAAGGCAGTCACTGCTCTCATGGAGTGGCAGCCTAACAAGTTGTTACCTCAGTTTGTCCTGGAAGAATATCTCCTCTGTGGTAGAGCACGTGGTAGAGCAAGGTGAGTACAAGCTCCTCTTGTACCAAGGTGAGTACAACCTCCTTGTAGCATCCTTGCAAACAGGCCCAACCCAGACAATACTGTCTTTTCATATAGCAGTGGTAAGTCCTCAAAGTAGGTGCTTTTCTGCTTAGCAGGAATAAAGGCTAGACTTATCATCAAGTGGGATGGTCCTGGGATAATGTCATAACCTCCTCCCCTGACATTTTGCTACTGAGGCATTGGCAGCTTCTCAGAACCCTTGGGCCCCAGGTCTCCTTTATTAAAGAGTTGCTTACTATTGAAAGTACTAGGAACTGTAATGTGTGTGTGTGTCTCTGTGTGTGTGCGTGTATGTAGTCCTGTGGACCAAATCCAAGGCCCTGTGTATGTTAAGTACGTGCTCTACCACAGAGCTATACCCCAAAACAAAAATTATATTCTTGAAATGATATTTTAAAATGCTTTCTTAGTTATCTTACTTTTAAATGCACGTATATATGTAATTTCAGATTTCTTCTTAGTAAGTTCAGATCAGCAACCAGAGGAGAAATTATAACTACAAAACCTGAAAGTGGGCGGAGCTACAGCTTGGATTTAGACAGTCAGAATTTTCGGAGTTTAAAGTCAACTGCTGGTTCAGAAAGGTAAGAGACATAAAGATTGGGCAATGTGACAGGTTGAGGATTAACTTGATAGATTCCCTTCCAAACAGGGCTCTTAGGCATCTGTCAAGTATTGCCACTTGGACAACTCTTGACACATAAGATGAGAAGTCAGGATACTTTTTATTACAAATGGAAATCACCTACCTTTCCTCTGGAGTTACAGCCATTAGAATCATCTGAGTCATCTGTAGAGGTGAGATTGTAGGAACCCAAGGTTGTAGTTCAAATGGAGATATAGAGGTCAAATACATACTTTTCATTGATCTCTTGATCTTTTGGTTTAAGCTTCTGAAAAGAAACATCTAAGGGTCATATCCATTACTTAGAGCTTTTAAAAACTATAAATAATTTTATCATTTGAATTGCCTCAGAGAATATTCCATAAATTTCACTTCCTTCTAGTTCCACCACTTCTGATTCTAAGTGAAAGAGTAAGAATCTCCTGTGCATAAAGCTATCCCTTGTCAGGAAAAGTAAAGAGAAATTGAAAGGATAGCCAAGAGCATAGTCACTTCTAATCAGGTCCAGTTTCTCTCTATCCTGTTAGAGCATGACTCAAGGCTTATTTTCATGATTAGTGTATCATCAAGGATAAGAAAAGGATCTAACCTCATGTTTCGTTGATTTGTTCAAATGTTAACTCCCTTTTTTGCCATGGCTTCAGTAATTTTACTAAGCCAGCCAGAAAGACTGACAGATTTTATTTTCTTCTTTGGTGGATTCTTCAAGGGAATTGTAAGAAACAGTCTTGTAACTATGGAAGTGTCCCCCATGGTGACCTCTCTTTCACTTTGCATTGTACCATTCCCATAAGAAAGTGCTACTTGCTGTAAAACTGTACAGAAAAAGAAGGAAACAAAAGAATCATCTATCATTCAGTATCAAAGGCTCAGCACAGTAGTCACTATTTTCCAAATTTTTAATAATGCAGATATATTCCCTTTATGATAAAAAAAAATAGTAAACCATGGTTACCTTTGTCCTTGAAAGAGTTTTGTTGGGCCTCTTTTATGGCAGATCCATACTAAACTACAGAACTTTCTATAAATATCTCACGTTTACTTTTGATTATTAGACTCCTGATTCTCAGACAGTAGCAATCAAAATTATTTAGAGAAGATATGAAACTAAGTGACTGTTTCTCTTTTTGCTCAGCCTCCCACAGACTGTTTTGTTGAGCCATCTTGGTTTGCACTTCAAGCTACCACTTAAGAGAAACAATATCTAAAAAGAGGAAATATAGTGTCTTTTGTTAGAAAATCAAAAAGTTTCAGGCCCATCAAACAAAATTAAATCACATCACTTTAAATTATTTGTCTTAAAGATATTCAACAAGAATAAGGGGCATGCCTCCCAGTATCACAGTACTTGATACTATTATTCTAGAGTCTATTTGTGTTTAATCCTTGTGCTTTATCTGCTATGAAGTATAAACAACCATAAATTTGTAAAGCCATATGGACATGTTTCACCATACAATGGTGTACTGACTCAGAAGTTTCTCATTCTTATTATAAACTAGAAAGTGTTCCCTAAGTAGACTTTATATTTTAAATTGTAAGTACTTGAAATAGTCTACAGATAAGCAGAATAAAATAAGGTTGTTCTGGCTTTAATATGCCAAGAACAGTGTTTTATTATTCCATTTAGCACGGAATAAAGATGCTCAGGAGATCAGTAAAGCAAATGTCCTTTTCCTGGAACATGTGTTTATCACTATGATGACTCATTAATGGACTGCCAGTGTGATCCCTTCCATTATCCCAAAATAATTCCTTAGAAAGTTGGGGCAGGGAGTGTCCCATCTTTCCTTAACTCACATCATTTAAAGAGATATTGACAAGATCGGGCGCATTCAGGGCGGTATGGCCGTAGACTTAAAGAGATTTTGAGATTTCAGTCTTGTTGATATGTTACCTGACCTAGCTTAGCAGTTATCCTCCTCTGTTTTCTACAATGCATATTTCTTCATGGTTCATTGGTCTTTCCCTAGAGCAGCTGGGATTAGGCACTCATTTTTAAAACTGACATCATATCAAAGTGGAAAAGATGTTTTATCAGTAGTCTCATTCACTTTATTTCTTTTCAGTAGTTTCAAAGCAGGAAAAAAATATGAATGGGTTAGGAGAGGCCTTATAAACACTCAGAAGGGCATGATGAATGGCCATTCGTTGGTTGCTAGGAACTGGACCTGCAAGGCAAAAGAGAGTTTTCTTAAGGGTGTACATGTAAACTGTTGTTAATAAACAGAATGCTTTTCAAGGCAGTGACTCCAGATCCCTTCTGGTTTTTATGCTATGGTTTGTGAGATCTCTATTTTACGTCATGTTATTCCAGAAACAGATCTTCAGACAAGGATGTCTAAACAAGTTAGTTATTAATCAGATAATTTCAAGAGGAACTAATAAGGGAGTTGGAGAGGCAAAACATAGAAGGGGAATAAGCTAAGTAATAGTGCTATCTCAGGTGGGGTCTGACCCTAGGACATCAGCTTGATCCCACAGTGAACACTGGTGCATGAATTGTGTTCTTGCGCTTTGTCCATTTGGAGGACCCAGATCATTACACTCCAAAACTAGTCAGCTGACTATGGATGTCCTCAGGTAAGGTTTCCAAACTTAAATAAAGATATAGGATTCCCAAATAAATTTATATTTGAGATAAATAACTTTTAAAATATAAGTATATGCCATGCAACATTTGGGGCATCCTAGTTCTTAGATATTATTGATTATCTGAAATTTAAATTTAACCAAGAGTACTGTATTTCACCTGACAATTCTAGCATGTGGGTAAGAAGAGACAAACACCAAGGCACTTCTAGGACTCCAGCTGTAGTATGAAGGACCAAGCTATGAAGGTGACATGTGCAACTCACTAACAGAAAAGTCCTTGGAGGGTAGGCTTCCATGCAAAGATACTAAAGGGATCTGAGAGGATCTAATGGGATACCAACAATGTCCCTTAAAAAGCAAAGGAAATGTGGAACTTTGAACTTAAATTTGTTCCATTCAGGGTAAAAAACAGGTAAAATGTGATACTGTTTCTAGGCAGCATTTCTATCATGTGACTGAAGAAGATGACGAACATATTACCAAGGGATCTTGTCCATTCTCTTTTTTTTGTTTCTCTTTTTGTTTTTGTGTTTTTGTTTTTCTTCAGGTATCGAACTCACGACGTTGCACTTGCCAGGCAGGCACTGTACCACTGAGCTAAATCCCCAGCCCCTTATCCATTTTCATACTCATTAAGTTCTCATTCTTCCCTCTTCCTATCACCCCACAAAAACACACACACTAGATTTATACAGTTACTCTTATTTGCTCTCCAGGAATTCTGGGACTGATTTTTGCATTTTCTGGGATGCTTCTCAAGCTGCCTTGCTTGGCAGAGATCCAAAGCAGAGATTGTACCATTCAAGTTCATCTTCATTCCAAGCACTGCCCTTCTGTCTGTCATTCTCTCCTGAAAATATCATGGGAATATGTCCTGGAAATATTTTAGTACTTTCATGATGAAAAACAACCATTCTTTCTTGATATATTATTTTAGGAAAGTGAGTTTATTAAACCCATTCCATCATTAAATGAAACCCCTGGGTTTTTTATCAGAAGTAAATATTTTTGTCCTGAATGTAATTTTTATAGTCATCTTTGTGGTTGAGATGCCAGTTAGCATCCTCTCAGTGGTCATGTGAACATAGCAAGGTGGGAGTGTCCTAGGTCAGAGTCAAGGCCACATCCATAAACTAAACAGTGATGTGTTTTATGTACTAAATAAAACACCATGATTTTCTTAGCAAATTCCTTTCTCCTAGGCTTTAAAAATATTTCAAATGTATATGCAATATATCTCTGAAATTATGTAGATTTTATTTCATAATACCAGCTGTGATGGTTTTGTGACAGAAAAAGTCTAACAGTTATGAGAATTACCCTCTGAAGGAAAATTATTTTTACCTCTTTCCTATGCCTTTGTTTCACTTCTCTGTGCTGCCAATTACTTTTTTTCTATTTTAACCTCTTTTGAGTGAATACAGCCCTCTTTAGTGGAAGCAAGGGCTGGGCAATTAAAGCCACAAACTATCAAAAATGCTAACAGCATAAAGCAATTCACAAAACCATGGTAGCCCAAGAAAGGACAATCTTCTGGCCATAAGTTGTTACATCCTTGATTTCTGTTCACTTTACTTACAAGTGACTTTGCTACTCATAATTTTAATAACGTCAGGAATTGTTACAGTTTAGATCTCAAATGTTCCCCCAAAAGTCTCACATGTTCAGAGGTGAAACTTCTGAAGGATGACTGCAATGCAGGGCACTAAATGCATCAGTAGATTAGTCTGCAGAATGTGATGTAAGGAGGTAGGGCCTGGTTGATGATTGATCACTGAGGCTGTGACCTAGAAGAGGGTCACTTGTCGATGGCTCCTCCCTTCTCTCTCTGCTTCTGGGATACCAGGAGGTGAGCAACTTCACTCTGCCAGTCTGTTCTGTCTTGGAGGCAGGTGACCATGCATGGCCTGAAACATCTGAAACTGTGGGCCAGAATAAACTCATTTAACTTGTGGTATTGGGTACACTGTGCCAGCAATGAGAATGTGACTAATACAGAAAACTGGTATGAGAAATGGAATTGTTGTTGTGATTGTGTCTGATCACGTGATTTAGAAGCCTTTGGAACTGATTTGTAGGAGTTTGGAAAGGTTTGAAGATACTGGCTAGAGAATCCCGAGAATGCTGTAAGCCAAGCTTGATGGATGGTTCTCATTGCAACTCAGAAGATCAAGGTGCTAACAAGAATAGATATAGTAAAGGCTGAGCTAACGAGACCTTAGATGGGAATGAGAACCTTATTGAAAACTGGACTAGAGGCCATGTGTGCTACACTCTGGCAAAAAGATTTTTCTACATTTTAGCCATATCCTGAGACTTTACCTGAGACTGAGATTAAGGATGGTAGATAATTGATCAAGTGGA